GAGACATGACGCGTTATAGTGTTGACGTCGACGCGCTGGTGGGGCGTGAGCCATTCGCTTGGGTGAGCCATTCGCTTGTGAACCACGTTATAGATTATGTATACAAAACGGCCGCTTACTACTATAGAGATCTACTATACTCTAGTAATAGAATAAGATAAGGTAGAGCTTAATTCTAAGAATATATCTAATATTAAGGGCCTATTATCTATATATACTAGAGTAGTCGTTATTAATTAAGAAAGCGCTATTATCTATCTTATATATTATACTATCTAAGAATACTTCGTACGTATCTAAGATATAGAGAATCTATACTCTTAACTAGATATAGCCTTAATATATCTTAGGTACCTATTATTCTATATATTTAAAACTAAGGGCTACTTCTCTAATAAAGAATTTAAAGAAAGGCTTTAAGGAAGCTAATTCTTAGACTATACTACTAAGCACTGAAGAGAGTATATATTAATAGTGGAAAGTAAGATATATAAACTAGCCTACTTATTTCTTTCTTACTAAGAATTAGTTTCTTATACTATATAGGTACTCTTATAACTAAAATATATATATTAGGGGTATAGCTAGGAATATCCTAAGAGTAGTATAGAATTATATCTTATAGCACGTTTTAGATTAGCTATTATATTAGAGGCCCTACTTCTAAACTAAGTAGAAGAGATAGTACTTATATTAGAAAGAAAAGATAGTAAGGGCTAGACTTTCCTATATCTTATAGTAGAATATAGATACTAAAGAATAGTAGAGCTACTACTTAATAAGGGCGCCAAAGTTAACGCGTAGGGCGGAGAGTACGGCAACGCACTATAGGCAGCTTTAGCTAGAGGTCGCCAGTTAATCGTGCAGCTACTTCTTAATAATAGTACTAATATTAATAAGTAGGGCAGTCTCTATAGTAATACTCTCTATATAGCTGTAGCTAAGAACTATATAGCTATTATTAAGCTTCTACTTAATAACGGCGCTGATACCTCGTAATATAATAGCTATAGAAAAAGTATTTTATATTATACTACTAATAGCGTAGATTATAATATTAGTCTTATTAACCTTCTACTCTTACGAGGCACTCTAGTAAATATAACTAATATTAATAATATAACTCTACTATATTACTACGTTAAGTATAGCTATAAATCTATAATAGAATTACTTCTTAAAAATAGTTTATCTATTAATATTAGTGTCTATTAAAAGTCATGGTCTTAGAATACTATAAAGACTAACACCTTTTACTATTTATTAGTTTTAGAGTCTGAGCCTAATATTCTAGGCACTTTAGCTAGCCTAACACCTTTATACTTTATAGCCCTAACTAGCAATTTAGTTATAACTAAGTTCCTTCTAGAGCGTGGTACTAATCTAAACGCTTTATCTAGATATAATAAGTCCCTAATATATCTTATATTATAGAAAGCCCTATATAGACTAGGTTATACTAATAATTAGACTAATCTAGACTTTAAGATAGAAAGTATATAGGACTTTATAGACTTTAAAGAAGACGAAATCAATTTAGTTTCTATAAAAATAATAATATATCGCGAAGGTGTGCTTAATGCTCTACTTATAGATACTAGGACTAGTCTAGCGATTAGAGACTATTAATATAACTACCCTTTACACTATATTAATTATAGAGAACTTAGAAGTATATTAATAATTTAGAAACTAGTATCTAGAGGAGCGAATCTGTTAGAAAGTGTTAAGGGTGAAGAGGCCTTCGAACGAGTATGCATTAACCTATGATACAGAAGAAGAAAGATAAGAAGAGTAAAGTTGTCATACGACATCTCCTACTTTATACCCTCACCCTAAGCTCTTTTCGTACGAAAAGTTCCCGTGACTAAGTATCCTAAGAGAAGGCACGTGATGTAATC